GTTGGTTCTGGTTGTTCTTCTCTGCAGGACGAGCTGAGGCGGTTCCTCCTCCTGCTGGTTCTCTAAACTCTTCTTCCTCTTGTCTCCTGCAGGACTCGGCGTCTCGCTGCGACGGCGAGCTGCTGTCGCTGCTGCTGGATGCCGGGCTGCTGGTGGGCTGCGTGGCGTCGCCGCTCTACCCGCCGCTCAGCCTCCACCTGCTGCAGCACCAGCAGGACGGCGGCTGGGACGTGGAGGCGGCGGCGGCCCGGCTGGCGGAGGCCGGACACCGGGCCGAGGCCGGGTCGCTGCTGCTGGCCCACCGGGGAGCCCACCCAGGACTCACCACCTTCACCTCGGCGCTGGCCGTCCTCAAGAAGTGGCTGTGAAGGAAGCAGCTGCAGGAGGACGAGGAGTCAGAGTCAACATGTGAAGGAGGCACTTCTAAGCTCAGATCTGAAACCAGCTTTTAACCCTCTGAACCTAAAAACCACCAGAAGTCCTGCATGAATCAGCCAGAAACCTTAAAAACACAAAGAACTGTTGGATTGTTAGGGTTCTGATGGACCTTTATGATCCAACGTTCTGGTTTTTGTGATAGTTTCAAACCAGATTCTGTAAAAACTGAGAAATTCTGCCCTCGTAGCGCCGACGCCCGTTAGTGGATCAGACTGTCTCGTTAAGGAGCCAAACCTTCATGTTTTTATTAGTTAAACTCTCAGAACACCAAAATATCTCATCTGAGGTCTGAAACACAGACAGAAACGTCAGGTTTCTACGTCTCTGTTGGACCTTGAGCTGCTTTTGTGACGTCCTGTTGACTAAATGAACCAGAATTCAGATTCTTCTTTAACAACAACTTCTTTCTTTTGGGTCTGATTCAAAAATTCTCCAAAAATAAATCGTTAAAAAGGTTCCAGTCAAAACATTTCAATCATCTCCTCGTTTGTCTTGTTAAAGAAAAAAACATGTTTTTGATTATTTTGACTCTCGAGTGAAATTTTCTTTTTAGCAAAATCCCCAAAATGACAGAAGCGACGTCGGACTTTCAGCTTCCTGACAGCCGATAAATGTTTGTTTATTCAGGAAATACAATCAGATTTAAGCTTGAAATGAGGATATTTTATCAAAAGCACTAAATTCTGCTAAGTGTTTCTAAAAATTCTACAGAAATAAATAATTTGCTTTAAAACATCCTGTCATCCTCGGGCTGACAGTGTCAATGTTTTCAGTTTTTGTAGACGCTTGTCTCACTGGACGGCTAAACAAAACATATTTCTGACGACTTCCTGGTTTGTTTTTGATTTGAACGGCATTTTTTCTCCTTAAACAGAATCAAAAATAGAAGATTTTATCACCAAAAACCTGCATAAGGTCAAAGAATCTTCAGAAGTTTAATCAAATCTGAGCTTAAAATTCAAACTTGACTTTCAAAATCACTTTATTCTGCAAAAAGTCACCTAAAATATGTGATTAGCTCGAACCAGATTCTGTTAAAGATAAAAATAAAACTGTTACTGACGAGCAAAGCGACACGGAAACTAATCAACCTGCAGATATGAAACATGAGGAGCCTCCAGGTTTCTGTCGGTAACATCTGTCGGCTCCTGTTTGCTTCAGTTTCTGTTCAACGGTTAATCCAATAAATCCTCCTTTAGTTTCTCTTCTCTCTGGTTTCCGTCGTTCTGAGTTCTGTCTCGTCCTTCGTGTGGTTCTGAGCTGCAGGATTTTATCAAACGAGCGTCTGAAGCTCTTCGTCGGGGTTCAGAGGGTTAAAACAGAAACATCTGCTGCTCGTGAACACGTGAATCCAGATGTGACGGTTTTTGCTTCCTGCTAATAACCTCTAATTAAGTCAAATTAACGAGTTGTGCAGCTGCTGATAATGGTGATGATGATGATGATGATGATGAAGAGTAGACACGTTTCACTAAAACAAACTGTTCTGACTTTAACACCTGAAATAAATAAAATCTGAAATAAATAAAATGTGAAGAGCTGCAGCTGTTTTTATTGTTTCTTCAGTGTTGGTTTGAAGTTCAGTCACAGGATCCATCCCATAATAAACACATCAGACTGGATCCATCCCATAATGAATACGTCAGACTGGATCCATCCCATAATGAACACATGAATGCATCAGACAGGATCCATCCCATAATGAACACATTCACAGTATTATAATTACGGTTTTTACTTGTTCCAGGACGGCGGCGGCGTCCGACCCAAACTGTCGAGTCAAAACCAAACGGCTGCTTGGTTCTGGTTGAGCAGAAAATCACTCGATGTGGTTTTAATTGGAGGAAACACATGAACGTTCAAGTCCGCCAACATCTGTGTCACTTATTTGTTTTCAAATGTGTTTTAAAATGTCTGTTATTAAGATTTCACACGATTTCGGGTCCAAATCCTGCAACAGGAAGCATCGACGGACCTCCTGAAGCCGCCCAGATCTGATGGAAATGTCCCAGAATGAAATAAAACGTGGATTAATACGAGTTATTTTTTGACGCCGTCGGGGTCTAAAAACAGGTTGAATTAAGCAGGTGCTTTGAATTATTGGAGCTTAAATGAAAGAAGTTTTACTGTTGATTCAGACACTCGCTGGTTTTATTCTGGTTCTGGTGAGATTAGATGTAAAAAAAGAATCAAACATCTGATTTATTAGAGTTTTCTCTGAATAATGCAGGAAAGTCACAGAGAAAAGGAAAAGCACAGATTCTGTTTTTAGTTCGAGGTCGTGTTGGAAAACACAAGTCTGAGATTCTACCAGATAAATTTCTAATAATTCAGTCGAACAACCCGACAGCTGGTCTGGGATCAGCTGGACTTCACCTTTAAATCCTTCATGTTTTATCTTTTAGCTGCTGAAGAACCAAACAGGTCCAGACGTGGTTCTGATTGAGATTCTGTGGGTCAGACAGGATCAAACCCTCACAGCTCACAAAACTCTTCGTTAGATATAAATCCAGATGTTTAATGAGTTTAATCGTGATCGCTGTCGTTATGATTTGATCCTGCAAAACCGCCTGATGACAGAAATATGAAATATTTAAACATTAAAGCAACAAATAAGGAATAAAGTTTGGAAGAAAAACGTCTTCAGTTGTGATTTATAAAAAGTTTAAAATGCAGCCGATCTGCTTCATGTTGGTTTGATTTGATTTGATCGACTGAAGACTTCATAAATAAACACTGAAAGCTGCTCAGAAGACAGAAAACCTCTGTTCATCCTGAAGCTCAGAGAGAAAAACACCGAAAAAACTTTTAGAGTTCAGTTTTAAAAAACA